AGATTCCTAAGATAGTACACATTTATTTGCGGTCCTAAAACTAAATGGGTCACAGCGTTTGTTTGGTATGAATATACGCTTGTTTCTCTTTAGTTGGTAAACTTATATGATTAACATTATACAGTTTTTCATACATTTTATAAAGTAAAAAAAGAATAAACGGAATAATTAAACAAACACATATTTTCACCCGTTAGCTTGTCAGCGACCCTTATGATAGGTAAGAGTAATTATGATATTTTATAGAGAAAATTTTAAAAAAATGCAACAACTTTTGAACCGTAATGTTTACAGCATTAGGGGTTGTACTATTTTGTTATGGGTTAGAAGGACCATAACATTCCAGACTAAGTTATAATCAAAATGGTTTGGGTAGTTTTTTATAAGATTTTTCGTTCTAGGGTGTAATGGGGAAATCATAAATAAACATACTAAAGAAAACATGCTACGTATAGGTTAGGAAAGGAAAAATTACTATTATTTATCTTCCAAAGTGTCGTTTTATATGACTGGCGTTTTCTAATCATAGGAGGAGAGTTTTAAGAGATTTTTACCTGAAAATGTTGAATTATTTTCTAGGAACACCGTGAAAAGTTGTAGAAAGATTTTTTGACTTTCATATAAGTTAAGGTCACAAAAAAGTTAGATGATTCAAAAAGGTTCGAAACGTTATGCTGTCTCTCATTTTATGTTTTGTTTACGGATATATCTTTATAACATTTTGAGATTTGTATAAAGTAGCTTTAGACATTAAAACAACAACTTGTTGTGTTCCTTGTAGCAGCCAAATCTAAATCCATTTGAGAAAACATTTCTGAATAGAGGTTAAAATAATTAGGAATTAGCTTAGTACGCACATATGCAGCTAATTGGGTATACATTTATTTTTATTCTACATAGATAAGTACCCCTATTAACTATCACCACTCTATAAACAACTAGCTGTAACCCGCGGGCTTTGCCCCCGTTTAACTTCTTAATTTTCAAGATTATCTCGTTCGCATGGCTCAATCACGTCCTGGTTGAAGTTTGTTCGCTACGCTCACTCACCTTTAGGTTGGAGCTCGTTCGCTACGCTCACTCACCTTTAGGTTGGAGCTCGTTCGCTGCGCTCACATGCCTTCAGGTTAGCTCGTTCGCTACGCTACTCGCCTCCAGGTTGAAGTTCATTCGCTACGCTCACTCACCTTTTGGTTGCAAATTAGCTGTTGTCATAAATGTAAAAGAAATAATAGTGCTGCACCCTGTTGGTAATCCTTGTAACTTTAATGCTATTGAACATCATAGAACAGAACCAACTTGTTTAATTGAAACAGCTGTTAAGATTCAATAATTCCATTTCTCATAAGGTTAACATGGGAAACTCCAGAGCCACTGGGGCGGAGCCGAAAGGATTTTTGAAATAAGAATATGCCTATATGTTAATCGGGAATGTGAGCTATCATCATGCCAAATTTCAGCCCAATCCGACCAGTATTTTTCGAGTTTACTTTTCCCATACACACATACAGCAACCACCTCTTTTTATAATAGTATAGATAGAAGATGGTAAACACAATTGTAAGCATAAAACAGCTGCTACACCAATCCAATTAGTAATGCAGCTTATAAAAGCAAGAACAGGAGTTTTACAGTTAAACCTTCAGTGACGTTAATTGCTTTATTGAGGATGCGAGATAATACATTTGCTTTCGCACAGTATTTAATTGGAGCAGGAATCACGGGGCAAATGTCAATAAAGGCGATTAATTCCCAGGAAGGGTTCCCGTGGGATGATATACGGTCGATGGTTAGTTTGTGGGACAACCGCTCGGAGCGCCACCCGTCGGTACCTTCCCCTAGTTCTCACTTCGAAGGGTAGCAAAATACGCCGTTCTAAAAATACATTTAAGCTGGACCCTTTTAAATACACATCGAGAATTCAAGATATGACGAATTTAGTGGGAATTTGAAGGAAAAAAAACATCATAATGTTTAAAAACTTTGAAGTTGAATTCTACTAAATACACAATCCAATGTTTTAATTATTAACCGTAAACATTTATCATGTTCTGTGAAGAAATATTTGGGAAGACAACACAGCATCGATGTACATTGATACAAGTTATAGCATATCAAGTTTTCTACATGGGTTCAATGAAACTTGTGATAACGTATGTATGAGAATGATACTATATCAAAGGTATAAACAAAGCACTTTAAGCTGTATTTAGGATGAACCAAATAACCTAAAACAATTAAATTAGATTTGAGTCGACAAATCGGCCTAAAATTCATTAGTAAATAACTTCTTGATCAGCATTGTACGTGTTATTAAATTTACGGAAAGTAAATAAAAGAAACGTCTTATTTATTAAAGACGTTTCTTGTATTTACTTTCCGTAAATTCATTAGTTAAATGTTGTTTCACAAGGTAAGACATGTCTCGTTGCGGATAATGTCCGATTATAGAAAATTATTGACTTGGATTAATAAAGTAAATCGATCACATTATGAAGTCCCAACATATGTTACACTAACTAAAATCAGGTTTAAATCAGGTATAAATCAGGTTTAATCAGTGTTTGAAGTAGATTCTATTATCGTTGTGGAATACCTCTCTCTAGTACTAGTACACTCTAGATTTGTTGTTTACACCCTAACCGAACAGATTCAATTGATCATTGATCTTTAAACGGTTCGTTACGTTTATCAAATATTTTTTACAATTTGTGTAAGTTTGTTTGGAAGCTATTTCACTAATAGTGAAACACATTTCCTAAAATGTCTCAATTTACACTTATACACACTTGTCTGTAACAGAGACTCTACAATTTGGCCTACCAGTGTAAGCAAAATTTAGTGTTGGACGATGTATTATAAACAAATTAATAACAAGACCAACATTTAAAATGTTGATAAAAATGTTGTTAAAATGCTATTTTTCCCTACAAATTTTAAACAGTAACTTAAACATTTTTTAACCAAAAGGAGGTAGTAATAACAAAGCAAACCCATCTAAAATCAAAATTGAGCACCTTATTGTGCAAAAACCCCCAATACCTATACGCTACCTAACAACTAAACCCAATACGCTATAATCTTGAAGCAAGCCCCTCTAAAATCAAAATGTGGACATCTAACTATGCAAACACAATACCGTCGATATAATCTCTAAGCAAACCCCTCTAAAATCAAAATGTGGACATCTAACTATGCAAACACAATACCGTCGATATAATCTCTAAACAAACCCCTCTAAAATCAAAATGTGCACATCTAATTATGCAATTAACCCAATAACGTCCCTATAATCTCTAAACAAACCCCTCTAAAATCAAAATGTGAACATGTAATTATGCAAACACAATAATAACGTCCCGTCGCTATAATCTTGAACCAAAAACCTCTAAAATAGCAAACACAATATCGTCGCTAACGAGGGCTACGCATTTGATTTTCAATACGCGAAGATGCGTTAGAGCTCTTACTTTGCTCGTAACAGCTTTCAACCCTCGGTTTATGGGAGCTTCGGCTTCAGATCATAAACGGCGTTGCTTTTGTGTCAGCTGCCACTTGACGCCGCTTCGCCCTTCTCAAAGAAAAGTGGCCGTAATTTCACAAAAGGGACGTAAAACCTCCCTCTCAAGATATTTTGAAAGGGAAAATCTACTTTGATATAGTAGCACTTACGGCACGGTCTCGCTGCGTACAGGTTTACCTTTCAAAGATTTTGAAACCTAATTTTGCTACGTGATTCAATATGTGAGAATTTTCTTAAATTAATTAATTGCTGATTTATATATGCAGTTCAAATATGAACTACTTTCGAAATATTTCCACCTTTATGAAGACAGATGTGTGGGGATTTCTTTATTTTGAATAATTTTTAATATATATATTTAATGATCACATTAATTATTTTCTTAATATCATTCAGAAAAAAATGCACCAATTTGTATTTATTTTTTTAAATATCAACGTTGTACAATCTGTAATATGAATACCAAAGCAAAGTCAAAAGTGATATGTGCTTCAATTAACGATCAAAATACGACCTACTGAAGCAATGACAGTTTAATAACTTCAATTTACAACCAGTTTTTATAGGACACGAGCAATGCTCGATCACAGACTTTTAAACGATGCTCCATTCAAATCCATCAGGTCGTTAAGGAATCATTAGGATCAAACTGGGAGTTTAAGAGGGGATTTTAATGTCCAATCAATATTAAACTACCTTCATCATTCTGATTGCTACCATTATTATGTATGCTATGAATACAGACTAGTAATGGTTTGGTATTATTTATGATTGAACAATTGAACGTTCATATACACACTGAACCGTATAAAAAACTGGATTTTTGATAATACGCGTATTTATTGTGAGCATTGAGGTTATTTTTGGATCTCTGTAGATATTTAATATTTCTGTACTTTGGTTTTATACATTGCAACAACTTGTACCAATAAGAATGGCATGACAAATCATTCTCATTCTCATTCTCTCATGACTTGTTAACTTATATGAACAATGAACATGTTACACGATCATGGTCACCATTAAAATCCTATGTAGATTCACCTAAAACGAGGTGCGGATAGTGTAGGCTACTTTGAACGGAGATTAAAATATAAATATTATAAGACCAATGAAATGCCGTACTACTTTCCTAATTCGCATTTTATTAAACATAAAATTTAGAAAGGCATTCAAACTGCGATTTTTCATCCACAGTTAAACTTACAGATTTACCTTTATTAGAACCATCAACACTCCTTTGGATCAACAGTTGTTATGAAACCGAAAGGTTGAAATCAAAGAAAGCAAAATTAAAAGATGCTAATGAAAACCGATATTGATAAACAGGATTAAGTTCCGATGTGCTTTTCGCTCTGAGGTAAAATTGTAGAAAACAACGCGCGGGCGCCCTCCTCTGGGAGGGGAGGTCATGTGACCCATCCTGCTAGCGAGCCAGACGACGTTAGTTTGCAGTAGAAATGGCAACTCGGTCCGGTTGGGTGCGCTGCTCTACCTCGACCGCGAGTTACTCCGTATTGAGAGTGTATAACCGGTGATCGTAGATTATTTTAACTCATCTAGTGCGCGTTTAGTACATTAATTATAGTATAAATAAAATACAATATATACCTACAGTTGTACACTTCAATATGTGTTGTGGGTTAGGCCAAATGTGAATCTTGGAGTTTGGGATATTTGTCATAGTATGTAATTGTATTTTTGTCTTATTAATATTTTTATGAATGAGGAGGTATAAATATCAACGATAATTGCTCACATATTTGTGTAAACTTAGATTACATATTTATTCAAAGCAGGTGCGTAGGGTACCATATGTCTTTGGATCAATATATTTCTTCGAATTTTTGTAGCCTTTGGAATCGATTATTTCCTCTTGTACTGTCACTAACTATCGATTCGGATGTCGGATCGAAACGAAACTTCTTTGTCTGTCAACCGTAAATGTCAAACTCAACTGTCACACTCGGTGTTTATTTATTTATTGTTAGTGGTCAAGTTTCATAAATAATTTGTACTAAGTCGAATATACATCTAAAGTTTCTTATAAATATAAATTGCTTTTCAAGATTAAGTGCCACAAGAGTAAGAAGTAATATTGTTTACACCTGATATTGATTTCCACCCAGTCTGGCGCATAGCCCTTCTAACCTAAAATGCGGTATTTAGTATTTTATAAAATAAATGTCAAGGATGGTTGTAATATTGGATTTGCTCTTTGGCAAATATATGTACCCTGAAGACACTATAATTTAAAGTGTATATTGTTTCCACACCTATACTGCAACACAATATTTTGGTTCTAAATTAGGCCTATTTGGAAATAGTTGGTGCAGTTAACCTCCCCAGTTTGGAAAACTAGCCTATATTGTTATTTATTTACATTTAGTAATTTGTGGCTTGTAGATTTAATTTGATTGAAAATCTAAATTTTGTGTGTTCTTGCTTTGAAGGGTTTAACGATAGCAACTAGGTTAGGCCTGGATGCTGAGTTTCCGGAAAGCGAGCATTGCGTTTGTTACATTTAGGTCTACTGTTTGCAGAAATTTGTCTACCGATGACCTGCTTAAAATTACAAGGTATTTTTAAGTAAACCTAGGTAATACAATAAAATTCTTGTAGTTTTGTAATGATAGGTGTGCGGGCTTTTTTTAAAGATTGGAAGTACGAGTACAAAAATCTCTAATTTAACCCACCATAAACTTAACCATTGATCCTCACTGTGTTCTGTTCTGCTGTGTAATTTGTTTTTTAAGTATTAGTATGTATTTAGTCGTAGTAAAATCAAGAAGTAAAAATCTTTCTCAACATGCTAATTATACGAAGATCATTAAGTATTTTACAGCTCGCTAGCAGGTTAGGTTTGAATTTCATAAATTTGTTATTTTTAGGACTTTTGTCATCTCAAACGGTATAACGATCGATTTGAACGTTAACTGATGAGTCAGCAACACATTTATGAAACCCTAACTTAACCAAACAGATTTAGCGCTATCGTCTTGGAACAAGTAATGTCCCCACTTTGAACCATCTCATGTAAGATATGTAAAACACTGAGGTGTCAGTAGTCTAGTTTTTTTTTGTTAACTTCCTTATAGTATTCAGTCGATTGTAGCATATTGTAGGTGCAGGGAAAATGAAGCATATTAGGCTACTGTTAGCCGATTCCTTGTTTAAGTTGTAGGACGCAAAAAATTTTGAAGTTGACTGTTTTCATTTAAAGAATAGGTATCTTACTAAGTTATATGTAGGCTATCTTTTCAGGTGAAGCCACATTTTTAGTAGGCCAAGGTAAACACGAGCTCATCATCGAATTACAATAATGAACAAAATAATTTAGCCAATTAGGTCTAACAACCAAAAAATAAAGCAAGGTAAATTATAATCTTAATCAAGACAAAATAAAGTGTAAGGGCGTTAATAAGTTTAATTTATTTTGAATTGAGTGTATGAATCTATGTGAAGGTATTACTTCACCTACATTGTCCTTGTTTGGTTTTCATTAGGCTTCCATCTCTCGACACTGTTATTTACCTAACAATGCACTTGTTACTCAGCTGTTTTATAGGGAATAATATATCTATATAATATATATTTTTATAGGGAATAATGGTGCGATTCTCACCAACGGACATTGGGTGAATGGTGTTTAGTGATGAAAGGACACTTTAAAGTGTGATACAGTGTGCTCAGACAAATTGATATTGAAACCTCTACTATGGCGCTCCGCCACGTTCTATCGACAGTTATATTTGTGACCTGCGTCATCTGCTATTATAACAGTTGTCAGTGTGGTTTTGTGTTTGATGATATCAGTGCGATCAAGGAAAACCGAGACTTGAGACCTCACACGCCTCTGAAAAATGTCTTCCTCAACGATTTTTGGGGAACACCAATGCATAAGGTATGTTACGTTAAAAATGCATGTCCCTATAGACATTTGAATAGTATTTAGTCATCAAAAGTCAGATGTAGAATTTGAGTTAGGCTAGGCTATGTTTAGTAGTCATTTGATTTGTGTCAAACCGTAGCTGCTATGAGATGTGGTTATGTCAGGTTTTTCCTGGCGATGTATTTAAAGCGCAAAACTTATAAAGTTTAAAATACACCTACTAAAATTCTGCATCCCAAAAAAATTTTTATCTATGATTACTGTTCAATGTGGAAGAGTTATCCTCCGAACTCCAAAGCCAGACGGAGAAGATCTACAGTCTCGCATACCATAGCCCAAACTTTGTAGGCCTAAATATTTTTTGCTTTAAACGGCACAGTCAATGTGTGAAAAACATCGAAATTTATTATTTGTAACTTTAGATGATAAAAATAATTAACTATGAAGCACTATATTCTACAGAGGAAGAAGAATTGGCAACCATTGTGACAATTTCAGTAGAACGTTGGTTGCTAGAAGAGTTCTGTCTATGACTTGACCCACCACTATATAGCCACGGAGACAACCACTTATGCAATCAAGGAATCAACTATACTTATATTTCTTCTAATTTTAATAAACTTATAAATTCTATAACGATTGATTTTTTTGCCACTCACATATAAGTTACTACTGTATATATGTTCCCAGCAAGTTTATGATGTATAAAATTGGATATGTTTGTAGAAAAAAATGTATTTTTCTTAACAACATATAAGTAAAAAGTAGCTGCTGTGTGTTCATAATCACAGCAAAAACTCAATTTTCAATAAATAAAAAAAACACTAAAAGCGTTATGATGGAAACTGTTCCTGTTATTATCTTCTCGATTAGGAAATCATTTCAAACTGTTTTTGATTAAATTGTAGTAGGCCTACAAGAGACTCCCGATTTTCCACAAGTGAATTAAGTTTAACCACGCTGCGTATCAACCACGATCGGAAAGGAAAAAATATATAGTGAGGTTATACATCGATGACCAAAATGTTTAGCGAGAGGAGATCCATCATCTTGCTAGCAAACTAAAGTTGCTGTTTTTTACTTAACCGACCACGGATGAGTCACCAATGAGTTGATAAGTTACATATCGAGTGGGTTTTCCTATTTTTTGTGAGTAATAGGGCCATAAATAAGCTCACCAACAATTAGCTTATTCCGTTCTAGCTTATCTGTTTTGTAAATAGATTTGTGTGAAAAAATCTATATGCCAATCTCTGATGCATAAAAAAAATCATTAGGCCTCCTACACAAACCTTTATCAATGCCCAAACAATCAAAATCAATGTTGGTTATTTCCTGAGCATTTTAGGTTACTTTTTGCACTACCTATCAACAATTTTGATTATCTACGATTACGTAGCCACTCACTATCGGCGATAATGTCTCATTATCGAGTCTACTGTACTTCTTTGATAAGCTAAGGGTACCTATCTCCTATACTGAAATAACGCTGTTAGCGACAGGGGCAGGTTTAGACCTAACTTATTTTCAGTTGTATTACACGTCTTCAATATAACTGTACGTTTTATTATTTTTTTCCCTAGGACATTTGGCACGCACGAGTCCGAGATTGTTTTTCACATTACTTCAGGCAAAATCTAGGGGTTGCGGCACTATCACTTAAGAAAAATCCATTGGTGATTTGGCAGTATTTGAACCCAGAACCTCAGGGACTGAAGTCACACGCTCTAACCACTAGACCAGCTCGCTCACCAATATAACTGTATGTTAGTAATGCACTGTTTCTATGCAAGCTCAGACATTGCTATTGCTATAGTACCTCTTGTTGCCCGTTCATTTAAATTTGCTCTTATCTGCTCTACGTACATCACAAACGCCTCTTTTTTGTCACGACAATTCTTCCGTTTGTTTCTGTAGCCTTAATATAATTACGGTAAATGATTTAGTGCTTTGGAAACGATAAAGATGAAAGAAAGGGACACACTAGACCTCCTCGGGCAATATTTTCCTTAGCTGTGTTAAACACCATCTCGTTAAACAGTCCAAAATTTTTGTTAGTGATAGTTTAAAATGGAGCTTTGATGGTCCAATTGAATTTTACCGCTAGGTATGGTAATTTGTTTTTTTATGTAATGCCACAATTTTACTTAAGATTTGTCCAATGGGCTTGAAATGACTAGGTGAAAGCACATTACTGTCAACCAGAGCAGTTAGATATATTACAATATACATACCAAATTTTCCATCACACCTCTAACTAGCTATGGTAGGTAATTGATGACCCGGGTTTCAGCTTTTTTAATGCCATTTAAATCCGTCCATCCCAAAGACAGACGCATGTGATAAAAGTTGAAACCCATGTTATCGACTACAATGACGAGTCAGAGCCATGACGAATAATTTGGTATGTACATTAGTGAGAAAACAAACGTAGATATGTCATTGTCACTGAAAACCAATTCAAAATTCTTTAACCCGTCCAGAAACAAAGCAATAGTGAAGTATATTTATTTTTTGGGTTTCATTAATTTTTTAAAAAGTCCTTTTAACTTTTCCTGGGCCTGATTCGCTGATCGTAAAAAAATACTGCGATATTAGAACCATTTCATGTAATTTAATGCTATCGGATCAATTATGCTCAGCCAAGCGTAGATAGAAGTTTGAGTCTACTACATCAAATGTTTTTAAAATTTGACAAATTCTAATTAATAAAAAAAAAATGAAATGGCTTATTCTTTAGTATATTCTGATGATTAATAGAATTTAACATGTTCCACCTGTTGTGTAACATGTAAATTCTATTGGCTATATAGGTAATCCTTTATATTCAATTTTAGAGAGCTTTATCATGAAATCTTTAAGTAGGGACAGTTTTAGAGAGCCATAACTCCTTGCAGATGTATAAAAAAATCAGGATTACCTACTTATCTTATTCTAACCTGTTTTTAACATGTTTCGTATTTGTACAATACCTTTATCTAGACATTCCATCCGCATGTTAAAGTTGTCACAGTTTTAAAAACAAAATTTGGTCCAGTTTAACTGAGCTCCCGACAGAGCTGATGTAAATTACTGATTTCCATCGAATACGCCCTAAACTAATTGAAAATTCTATTTTCACTAATTCAAATTTATTTGACAACATATTGTAGTAAGCTACAGTAGACTCTTGATAATTCGAAATTGGTGGGCCAAGCATATAAATTTGAATTATCAAGAGTTTTGAATTATCAAGAGTTCGATTTATCGGGAGAAAAATAAACCATTCGAATTACAGAGAGTTAATTTGTTTAATACATACAAAGGTACAGCACGTTACAATAAAACATCATACCGTATTTTAGTACACTTTTAAACAATCAACGGCTCATTTTTCAGTTACTGTAGTTGCAAAGAAATCTGTTATTTAGCGCTATATATTTCGCCAATAGCTGAACTATCCGCTGTCGACAACTACGCGTTTGTGCTCAAGGAGATGTCGCGCAATCTAGAGATCGGATTGCCAACTTAGAAAACAAGTCAGCGAACTAACTCAGACTACTGCTCTAACTAAACAAACATCAAAACGTCCAACACTAGCCTACCATGGGAACAGGATGTTCTGTACTGTATAGTTTCCTGTTATAACAGGAAGAGATCACTTCGAATTATAGAGTGTTTTGCCGACTAAACTTTGAATTACTGCGTGACTTTGATTTATAGAGTGTTTTTTCTACGAAACTTCGAATTACAGCATGACTTCGAATTATAGAGTATTCACCGACGAAACTTCGAATTACTGAGTTACTTCGAATTATAGAGTGTTTTTCCGACGAAACTTCGAATTACTGCGTGTTACAAATTGACCTGCCCTCTATGTGGGCTTTGAAATACCAAGTGTATCAAAATGCATGGAAAAAATTTGAAATATTGAGAGATTCTATAGGGACTGAGCCTTCATTTTGAATTATCGAAAGTTTTGAATTATCAGGTGTTTGAATTACCAAGAGTGGACTGTACAACATATTTTGTTTCTCATCAGCTACCTCAGAAACAAAAACTAAGGAATCGAAAATAGATTTTTATACTGTAGTACACTCGTGAGTGGCCCTTTCAAAAATGTTCTTTTAAAATAAAAAAACCGGTGACAGTTGGTCCATGTAGATTGGATGGCTACTACAGTATCCAAAAGTCACTGTCAATACTTGATTTTAAAACGTTTGTCGGATAAACTTCAATGGAAATCTTGTAACAATTATACGATTTCATTATCCAAAATTAAAATACCCCCGCTGCAGCAAACGTGTAGACCAAGCGCATTTCAATTTGTCTAATTAGATTCATAAATATTTCCATAAACAAGACATATTTATTTCCTAATAAAATAAAATTAGATTTTTCGAATACTTAGGTTTGCTGCTATGAAGAAGGTAAAAAGAGTTTTCAAAATTATTTGGAGAGAAATTTGAGAGTAAATGTTTTGAGGGTGAACAATGAGAAAAACAAATTTTTACCCCATAAAACCCCTATAAACCCCCTGTTCCCTCAGTCCGATAATGCTGGATAGAGGACAATCAAGTCCATCCTGACCTACACCTTCAACCCAAATTTTATGAAAATTGTACCAATATTACTCGACATGTTCACTGACATATGTATACATTTAAAACAATTTGAAGGAATAGTGTTTTTAGCCTCTGGGGACATCAAAATGAAAAAGTAAATCGGTCATGGGGAATAGCTACTTCCCCATAGGGAAATTTGCTAAAATACACAAAACAAATGTAAGTAAAAAAAAACTATAGCCTGAAGCTGGCAAAAAACTCAAATCTCATTTGACAAATTCATAATTGACCAGAATTTCTTGCTGTTTACATTGTGAAAAAAGAATATTTACATCATATAATTGTTCCAGAGAAAAACTTCTCTTACATTATTCCCAAGGGGTTTCAGGAAACGCTACAGAATTGTATTTGTAGTATAAATAATAGAGCGACTTTAACATCTCTGACCTATTTTCGTTGCTGCTTTAA